TAATATTTCCTAGTCTTTTAATATCATTCATTTTCCCATTGAAATTTTCTTGCTAACATTTACGGTTAACAACATATATTGAAAGAATAAAAAATTCGGCAACCTTTAAGGGACGATTTGATGGCTTGAGAGTGAATGTCAGCCGAGAAAAATTGTTACTAGCATAAATTCGATGCCATGTACAATCCCACAAAGTTTCATTTAAATCGGGACCTGCGAGGTGGGAAACCTTTGTTGTGAGTCGGCAGCCTTTCCCTTGACTCATTGACGATATTCACCGCACGATTAAAATTAATGTAGTAAATAATTTTAAAAGATTAGTTATATATTTCTCTGAATTGTTAACATGTAGTGAAAGAAAATATACGCACATATAAATTTGCATAAAAGTTTGTTACCAATAATATAAAGAACACTTACAATCTCAATTCTTCAGTACCTGGCAGAAACAAGGAAGAATAGTCACGGAACCAGTGTACCAGGTAGAATGTAACTGCAAAAAAATGCAACAAGTTGTCACAATTTTTGTAAATAAAAAGTGTAAATTACAATAAAACATGTCTGTAGAGGGGTTTTTACCTTAACATGACCGCCTAAAAAATATATCCTTCAATTTTGATGATACTAAAAATGTTTTATACGCAATTTGTACGGTATGGAAGAGCGAATATGGCGCAAAGAATATTTTTGTCCGTAGGCCTTTTGTACGCAATTTTTAAGGTTACCGTTGTCCGTTTTCATACAAGTGCGCTTTTCTCTCGCATATTACGGCTGATATTAAAATGTATCCACGGATGCATAATGATTTGACCTTGAAGTGAACTTTGGCTCGAAGAATCGAAGCTATGCATGAAATTTATTAAGTGTGTGCAAAAGTTCTACATGCTTTTCATGATTCACGGTCCAAGTAAAAAAATGTAAGTAATAAGAATAATAACAGAAAGGACACCTAGTATGTAAATGTCGCTCATTTATAAGCAAGTAACACGAGAGTTAACATAGCAAACAATAACGATCACATTATGCATTGTTTGCTTTATGAGTTCGACAAAGGCAACAATGCAGCTGTAGCCTTTTGCAATGTTTGTGAGGTATATGGCGAAGACGCAATAGAAGAAAGCACATGTCGTCGTTAGTTTCGGTAATTCCGAGAAAGGGACAGAAGCTACAAAGACGCCTATCAGAACCTTTTGAAGAAGACCGCAACATCGTCGTCTAACAACGAAGCAATATCCAATGACCAACATCCAGCATTGAAGAATTGTCAGAAAGGTTTTCTGTTCACAGAACAACACTAGAAAGACGGATGGGTTTGTCACGAAATTTGATCAGTGGGTACCGCGTCATCTATCCGAAAGGAATCGATCAAACAAAATAACCACGTGCCTTTCTTTGTTCGCACGTCACAAGAATAAACCTTTTTTGGAATGATTTGTAACGGGTAATGAAAAATGGATTCTTTATAGAAATGTTGAGCTATGTACAGACACTGCAAGGCTGACTTGCGCGGCTGCTTCACAAGACGTGCATCGCGAAGTGAATACGTGCCTCAGACTGTGATTGCTTGCGACGAAACAGGCACACATTTCGCGAGGCAGCCGCGCAGACCAGTCTCGCAGTGTTTGCACATACACTCACGAGCAATCTCGGCTTCCACTAGGGGAAAAAGTGACACAAAAGGAAGGGGCCTTTGACCATGCTCCTACCAGTTGGTATTGGGAATTACTGAAATTTATACCAAATTAACATTTATTTCAGTGCCTGAAATTCATTTACTAAGTGGTAGGAGGCCCTTCTCTTACGCCACTTTTTCCCCTAGCGGAAGCCGAGTTTACTCGTGACGGTACATAGTTTAAAGCGTCGAAGAACTGCATGTCGAGTTGGCGAGCCTGTTCCATCGACTTCAAGAGGACTGCATCCGAGAAACGTCTTGTTAAATGTATTGTGGGATGTCAAAGAGGTAATCTATTGGGAGCTGCTTAGGCGGAGAGCTGGCTACATAGATGTCAACGTGACTCGATGTAGTCATAATTCTTATCTAAAAAGGTTAAATTAATATTGCCGAACACGAAATCGCAGGTCTGCCGCGCCGATCCGGGAAACTAATGGCGGGGCCGTGTGGCCAAATAGGTAAGACTTTTTGCGTAGAAACGTCATTTCAAGAATTCCGAAAATTTTGGTACATATAGTATATAATGGTACAAAGAGCGTGTAATCATTGGCAGACAACTAGGTGGAAAAATTAACGTTATTCCAGCAGATCTTACATTTTGGAACTTATCGTTTATACATTTAATGAACGATATACAAAATGGCGGACGTCAAAGTGGGTGATAAGGGCTTGACCAGGCTTGACAGATATCGATAAAAAGTGCGGTACGTAGCTTACGCGCTCCAAGCGGCTGGTCGTAGAGATTTACTTGTTTGTATTAATTTATAGTAAACATTATTCCTACAGTTCTGAAATTTTGTGGACTTGTCCACTTCTTCACAATTCCTAAATTTCATTTTTGTATTTATTTTACTGAGATAGTCACGTATAACACCGATCACATGTTGATAAACATTGTCACGTAAACTCCGCGGTCTTACGGAAATCTTTGCTGGTATTGAATTTCCAACTTGATATTACGCACAGACCGTTTTCAATTACAATAGACTCTAACTTTAATGCCACTGAAAATATTACCACATGAGTCACTTCCCCTTCACACGTACTTTCGCACACACACATTCGCTCTCCCACCAAAGTATTAGGTTTACGGCTAAAAATGTCAGTACTTTTTTACTCAAAATTTAACGCTCTTCGATATTTTGACATAAAAAATATAGCATTCCATTTAAAGAAACGAAGTTAACCTTGAAACCTCCGAAACCCCTCCACTTTAAAAAAAAATATATGCATTACACAATGTATCCCTTCAAACCATACAACTTTTCTATAAAAAGTTTTTTCATACAATGCATACTTCAGAAGTTGTTCAGTGTGAACAAGTTGCGTGGACCACCCTGTATAATGCCTATTGAATCATAATTGTACATTTAATTAAATGAAACTAAAAGGTACCTAGTGTTGTATGTGGTACTGTCCTCCATTGGGGCATCGGGTAGATGGTAAGTAGATTTGTCATCACACGGTTTTTCGACTTTATCCGTGAGATCTACAGGTTGATAACTTAGTTGCATGGTAGTTTCTGAATCCATTAGAATATGAGGTGAAGTATATTGGCGTACAGGAGCATATGTTTTAATAGGTACTAATGGTTTCTCATTGGGTATATATGAAAGTCTGTGAGTAGTGCAACCTGTAATTAATAAATCAATTTCAACGTGATAACTAGCGATTTCTATGTTGATTTAACTGAAAGCTTTGTTTATAAAATTATATATAAATATTTAGAACAGTCAGGGTTAGTAATGTCCTTTAACATTTCATTACGTAAAACTTTGTATAGCGATGTCCTTTTCAAGGGGCACACTTTTTAACCCGTAGTAGTTAAATCGGGTAAAGCACTATGTATTCTGAAATTTACGGAGAAAGATGTTTAAACATTTTTTGCGAAAAAAGTAATAAATGCGGCGAGACTTGAACCCAGATAGCACTCACTGGTACTTAACACAGTAGGAGATATTTCCGAACTTAGATTTCGAATTCTAAAAAATTTATGACCGCTGAAGGCTAATGTTTTATAAATGTCCTTCATACTTGTGTGACGTATGAAGAATATTTTCTCATGCCTCTCACTCTAATAGTTTGCGGGCTTACATCCGGCAAAGGAAAACGCCCTTGCGTCTTTTCGTTATCTCTCAAGTAAGCGGGGGAGTAGAACCCCGTTCCCACGGCACGGCGTGTACACATTGCACGTGGACAGTCATTGGCGTTTGAGTTTGTCTTACGCCTGAATAATGACGCCTTGACATGTTTATGGGAGAAAAGGGACTTTTCTTTCAAACACGATATGTATAATTCCTACATAAACTATAATTATTATAATTAGGTAAATCGTTATAATATTTGCAACTGTGGACGACTAGAGTAAACTTTCGATGAGTGTTCAAAAATTTCCTCGGTACTGAACATTAAATACTTCATAAACTAAGGACTATATGCTGCTGAAACAAATAACATTGGCTTCATAAGTCTAAGCTCTACCAATATCCAAAATCCCATTAAAAACTCAGCGTTACACCCGGGAACCTCTTCTTGTCAATGCCGAGGAGCCTCCGAACACCCATCGAGAATTTACTGTAGTACCAAACTGTTCCGTTAGATGTCACTCGGGTAGATAAATTCACTTTAACTACACAAGGCGTATAAGTACCCTCCACAATGCCCCAAAGGCGAGCATTGGATTGAAAGGGCTTCGGAACTATAGTTCCCAAGCGGCCGCGACATTCGCGCATGTTGGGAACTACAGTTCCCACTCGTACCGAACGTGTCAATGTCAAATTGATTTTAACCAGACTACTGCATAACAGTACTACTGTCCAGATAGCACATGACGTCTTGAAGACGCCCATATCTCGGCTATTTTAGGTCTAAGACGCCTTTAAGCCGTCTTCAAGGCGTCATTGGGCGTTATGTGCTATCTGGGAGTATAACAGTGTCTACTGTACACCCAGACTTGGGCTGAGTCTAATCACTTTCCTTTGCTCATTTTCTATCCCACAATGGACAAGCGAGTATCGTCGTAAAACTCGATAGAACAATTTATTTATGCTGATAGACTGTAAACTGTTGTTACTTACATTCCAACGGTGAAGATGCACAAACAAGATTATCTTCAGGACGGGTTTCTGATTGCGTTGGCATGAGCTTCCATGTGTAGTCATGTTTCTGAGTAGTTACATTTTGCATAGGTCCTTTGCCTAACATTTGTTTATCACAAGGCGTTATCATCATTTCTTGGTTCATACCATAGTTTCCGAAGAAACTCATCTAAAATAAATATATTAGTTACGCACATAATCACATATCAGCAGCACATTTTAACGTATAAATCATAGTGTGTCCCAATATATATATATAAAACTTCATATATATGAAGTTTTGATAACACTTCTAATATTATCTAAAAAATTTGGAATCTTATACGCTCGCCCTTTTTCAATGGGAATTGCTTTACCAGTGACAAGAACTCTATAATTACCACGTTTAATCCTTTTGCTGTTCAATAAAATTACGAAATATGGTCCAAAAATGTTCTAATTTTCTTATAACTTAATTCAGTCACATTTGTCAATAAAAAAAAAGGAAAACATTTTTTTTATAGCATCCCTATCCCTGATTACATCAATTCTTTATGTCATCCTTGATAATAGATACTTAAAGATGCATATGTACTAGTCAGAGCTGAAAATATTTTAGCAGGGAACACAGCAATAAGAGAAACATTTCTGTTGCTCCACTTTCAATATTCATTAGTTGTGTTTAGGAAAAAATGTTTTGCTACGAGGAAATTAAGGGGTTAACCCTTAAAACTCATAGGATCGTTCCCTGCTATATGGGGACATTGCTGTACTTCACTATGGTCTGTTTTTCGAAAGATGATGCCTGGGAGGTAGGCCCGAGTTTTTGCGGTGTTGCCGCGATCGCGAGACACCTACGGTACTTGTGTCTCTCTCACTCCTCGCATCTTGGCCAATGACGTGCGACCGTCGACGTGAGTCCTCGCCTACGGTCGTCTGTCTCTATCACACGTATTACAAACCTCTCGAGAAGGACCTACCTACAATCTCAAGGAGTGGGGACTGCGTTCGGCACGTGGCCGTCAATCATCCATTGTCTGGAAATGGCGGAGAATGTTGACGAGACGCTGAACGTTTTCACACGTCAAAAGTTAAAATACATGAATAAGAAAAAGTTTATTTCTTTTAAAAGAATGTATTGTACCCAAATATTGAGCAACATATTAAAACGGGATTAAATTAATACGTAGGTTATTAAACGCTACACGTGGAAATTGCAGGGTAAAGAAGGAAGTTGGTTTACCGAGCGTCTGAGCGAGAGGCTCGCGTGCCGAAGTGCCGGAGGATGGAAAGAGACACACAGTGGCATTGAGACCGTGCAACGTCGCACGAAATACGCAGCTCGCGTTGGATCCCCGCCAGGCCACGCGCCGAGGCAGACCAACCTCCCAGGCATCATCTTTCGAAAAACAGACCATAGTTCATGGTACGTTCTTTCTCTTTCTTCGTCACGCGATAGTATCAAGTCTGATTCGTAGGCTTTGCATTCTGACCAATAGTGAACTACGTCATTTGATTTGATTTGATTAAAGAACGTCTTTGTGTAATATACTTGTATAAAAACGGCGAAAGAAAGTGGCCTATATCGTGGAGATTAGATTATCATAAGTCGGATCTTCACTTCTTGCACTTATCAACTTTTCAACTCTAAACAGTAGTTATAATTATTATTTTTAGTTTTGCCTTACTCGATGAACAGTATCGTACGCTGGGGGGCATGATGAAAATAGTATATTTTCCGGTTGCCGAATTAAATTTCGTTTGTCGCCCTCAGAACCAAAGTAACTGAGACCGTATGTAGTGTTAGTATCAGAACAGCATCCAGCATTTAGTATGTTATCAGTTCCTTGAATAATGACCGATGGTCGTTTCTTCTCTGAATGAGGCCAGTAGCTCAATTTGTAAGTTGTGCATGCATCTATTGGTTCCACAGGTGGCAAATACTCTCTTTTATGGCACCATACTTGTTCTTCCTAAATAATACATAAATATGATACAATTGCAAACGAAGTTTTATGTAATTCCTACATGCATACGTTCTTAGCCAATATAAAACTAATGAGATCCGTTTTTAACAAATAACTGTTTGTTGCTATTACTCGTGGTGCGAAAAGAATAAATACAGTAATGTCTCGATGAGTGTGACCAACTCGGGTTCGTTGCGGTGTAACCGTTGTTTTTCTTTTGTTTTAACCGACTAGCTGTGGGGTCGGTTACGAACCCCTTGGTTTTATTATTCGATTTATCTAGATTGGTTCGTGCTTCCAGGCACTGGACAGCGGAGAAGTCTGATTGGTCTAAGAAGAAAGTTGGAGACGTTTCTGAGAATAGCAAAATTTCACGTATATTCTATTCGAAAATATTTACACCACCATATTTTCACACCATCATATACACACCATCATATGTTATCACGGTGCCCAATATTCAGATTAGCGTTCACTATTTCGGATTTAAATGATAACGTTCATTTACATCTACGGATTTTGACAATTGATTATGACATGCTCCTCGTTAATAACACGTCACACTCATGCAACCATTCTCTCGGAGGCGCGTCCTTATCTACCGCCGCGCGCGATCTTGATATTAGACCTACTCTACGCGTACGATTGAGGATCTGTCGCATCACCAACACATATGGCCAACATATATAATTATCGTAGAAAATGTGTCGATGGAGACAAACACAACGCCCCAGTCGAGAGAGTGACTACGACTATGCAAATTCCGATTCCAGTTCGGACGTATTCCTATGGCGCGCATAGTGAGCACTGTGGATCCTCGCGGTGGTGGAGATCGCCGCCGCTCGCCCGTCGCAAGTATATTTTTTCACAAATATTAATTATGTAATCGGAACGTTGCTCTGGGATGACGGTGATCAGCGCAACGTGTCCGGTACGAAATGCGGTCCATGTCTCGTCGAGAGCGGAAAGTCGCGTTCGCACCTTCGCCGCCGTCAGGTTACTTTTCCCGATCTTATTGAAATTCTCCAAAGACTGCTGTATCGTCCGTTTCAACATCAACTGGGTGTTGAGGAGTTCGGCCATGATGAGAAGTGCGTCCTTCTTTCAACTTCAATCCGGCTCGAAGGACCAAAAAATGTATCGAAACGGGTCGCTGGCCGCAATTTTCAATAAATGAATTGCTGGGATCGCTCAGCACTGAGCGTAGAGATTAAAGGAGGACTCTTGGTCCAGCCCAATAAAACACACGCGAATTACGATAAGTGATCGAACACTAGAACATTTATTAGACGATATAGCAAATTAAAGAGTCATGGACTCTGACACGATGCACGTGCTATAATAATTGTCCATCATTGGCACCGCAAGAAAAATTAACGACAAAAACGCAATTTGCGTGCAAAATTGTCGCGTGAGAATAGTACTGATATTCTTCGTATTCTGCTGACTCTCGGCGTAGGACAATGCTCGAGCACCGAGTGTACTTTTTGGCTGTGAGTCATCGCGCGATATAGGAGCGTGCCGGGCTTGGATTCGGCGAAATCGTGTGATATATCCACGACCACGGAACGCGGCGGAATCTCGCGAAACCTCGGGAAACCTCGGCTGCGCGACTGCGCGCCAATGACGTATTCAAATTCCGAACAGACATTTTTAGCCATTACTACATGTAGCGTAGAACAATATAAAATTAGAAACAGTCGAAAAACTAATTGCTACGATGTCTAGAATATGTCAAGACTGTTATTAGGAGTAGGGCCGGTTTTTTTTATGATGGGGCAATTTAAAAAAAAACTATCTATCTCTTTGTAAAGAAGATAATACGAAATGATGTGTTATTTATAAGTTTTTTGACAGATAAAACTTATTCAGTTACTTTAAAGACGTTCATTTTGTTTAGATACACCCTATTTCCCATAATTTATGTAGTGATTCCAAACATTTGGCTGATAGTGTATACTTATTAATAAGTAGAGTTACCTTCGAAGTAGCGTCATTTGCCCAGTAACTCAGTTTATAGGTTGTACTATCATCTATTGGAATACATGGTTTAGCATATTTCCTTATTGGTGCATAAGATGTACTAGGGCAGCGGCAATCAGACTCATAGTAACTCAAATTGTATGTTGTATCATCTTAAAGAAAGCAGAAATATGTTCATAGTAGTATATCTATCAGGACGACGTTTATAGTACGGACGGTTGGGATTTGAGGTAATTATTGACTTCAAATATGCCTCACCTATTTCAATGACCTTGAAATATGTTGTCAAGGTCATCATTTTGAATAACTTTTCTCTATACATTTTACCATCATCCGGCCTTAGTTTCGCAGCTATACGTAACAATATATCTAAAATTTCATACTTTGATTTTAGGATTAGTACCACGTGGTCAATTTGACAATGTGGTACTGATAATGACAACGGTAACGATAATGATAACGATATCACTAAAGTGGAAAGTCACACACGTTACTAGCTCGATCCACTCGCTTCGCTCTCTTTGCTCGCTTGAAGAAATCTAGGTATCATATTTTGTAGGCCCTGTTTGGGTTAAACATGTGTTAGTCTCTTTAATCCACACATGCGTTACAGATGAATTTTCAAATTCAATTTTCTTGAAAACTAAGCTTCGGATACAGAAATGTTATCCGTATTTTTTACTTACTTTGTCACGCACAATCACCTCGTCTCCGGTAGTATGACCCATCTAACCATAATATGTGTATATCGAATCGTCGATGCAATTTTGCGAATGTCTCAGACACTGAGGTCGAGGAGCAGTAATATGTCTATACATATTACTGCTTTCCCTATGGAAAAGCTGTTCAGAAGGATGATCTTGACAACATATTTTAGTTCATAAAAATCGAGAGGGAGACTTAAAGTAAATAATTACCGAATTTGCTATTTTAGAGGGGACTTCTACAAGCAATATTTCTGGCTCTCGAAAATTTAAATTAGGAAATATTGGTCTAGAAATCACCTTATTGTTCTATTTTCTGCACACATACACTTCCAGTGCTTCAAATTAACAGCAACTGGCATGTCATAAACCTTAGAGATTCGAACTAGTCATTAACCCTAGAATTTCCAAGCCTCGAGCCGTCACAAGGAGTTTCATAGTAGGGCGGAGGGTGAGTCCTCGAACCTACACAACTTCTTACGTTTTCACCCTAAAAAATTGTTTGTTGGAAACATTTTGGCAATATTTGAATATGTTATACTTTGTAAACAATATTGCATATTTTTGCATTATGTTCGTATGTATATATATATATGTGGAAAGCGTCTGGGTTAAGATACCCCGGGTAACACTACCCTTAGGTCCATGTGAAGGCTAGGCATTACAATGCTCTGCTCGTAGTCCCGGAGGGGGTACCGAAACTCACTTCCCCCGGATGACCCTGTGTTCACTGATCACTAATGGGGTGACAACACTTTGAACATACACTAAAATAATAAATAATGCGATTATGGCGTTTATTTTGCTTCTGCAATTCTTTTCTATGAGCATCCACATCAACCAGTTACGTGCGAAATTTTCAGCCCAAGGTCATTTCAAGGTCATAGTGTGACACATTTTTGGATACGTTTTGATCTCCTCTTTGTAATGGCAAACAAAAAAATGGGGCATTCCATTTAAAAAAAACGTTACCATTAAAGAAATCTCAAAAGATATGACCTTTAGATGACCTTCAATCTCATAATCTAATTTCTCCCCTAAAATACACTAACTTTCTCCCGAACCATTTTTCTGTACCTTGACAAATAAGACAATAATTAAGGGTGGCAGAGTTAGGTGGGACACCCTGTATATAAAGAATTTAATGAAACATATGTATGTTATATCCTGTCGTTTCATAACCTCTTTCCGTTGCATATTTTTTCTTATTTCTTAATTCATTCCACAATTCGTCTCTTTGAAACCATAACGAGAATTGTCGACAGTCAGCGCAACCACTAATTCACTCGTGATTAACCAGAACCATCAGATTGGAAATGCTTAATCGACAGTCCTCGTTGTATCGTGCACTAGTGACCTAATGATATCCTTACGATTTCATACAGTCACTGCAACAATATAAACTCTCGGACAAAGGTCAGTTGGGCAGTTGAGCCCAGGCAAGCAGTCAGTTCTTATTTCAGCAGTCACCTTTGACGGTGCTTCGTCTCATCTTTACACGCAACGGCGAGCCGAGTGACAGCGATCACTCAGATCTACGGTATCGGGTTCCGCGTTGTTTCCTATTTTCGGCGACGCGACCTTGTGATTACGCGCGATCTGACAGACGCGTTTTATAAGACACCGAACCGTGAAGTGTAACGTCCGAGACGGTAATAACGTATTCCGCAGTGCCTAAACCCTGTCCAACAGCCTCGAGCGCCAGCAAGTCTTCCGCCTTTTCAAGGATCTAAAATCCCGACCGAGCCGGCCGCAAATGTGAAATCATTCATCTCCATCATCATTGGTATGTTAAGATTTATTTGTATCTTTTATTTATTTCGTGGTTAGAATATATCTTTATTGTTATCAAGAACGAGAGTGATTTCCCTCCCGTTCCCTATCCACATTGCGTATTTCACCGGTAAGTTTAGACAGGGCGTACTTTAGCACCTTAAAGGAGCCAGGTCCCGTAATTATAAATAAAGTAACGACCGCAACGCGGGACGTAACATGTATTTTTTTATTTATTCTTACCGGATAATTTGGCTGCAAGGCAATACAACTGTTGCTGTGGTTTGAAAGGTTCTCTTAGTTTTATGGATTTCCATGAGTAGTCATGCTTTTGAGTAGTAATATCTTGGATGGGACCTCTACCGAGCAACTGTTTTTCACATGGCACAATAGATGGATCCGGCTGTATACACCAATTACCAAGATAACTGGCCTGAAATAACATCACATAAAAGGCGTTGTTATACAGGTTGTAACAAAAATGTTGCGGGACCCGGAAATGGAAGACACGTAAGGTGATTTGAAAAAAGTTTTTCCTTAGCAAAAATGTTATCTAATGCTTTGGTAACGAAATATTAACGAAAAACCCCGATCAATTAGAGCGTGAGTCTGCCGGCCAAGTTCCCGCGGTAACGTTGGCTACGTCCTGCTCTTCTACTGCGAACATGCAAGTCAGTATGCATCGGAAGAAACTGTGTATAATACTAAATAAAAAAGACGTAACAAATAAAATCGAATTTTTTGTCGTCTTTAGTTTGTCATTTAAAATGAATGCTGAATAAACTTTAAATGTTGGAAAGTCACGTGTAACGTAAAGAGACAAATACACAGTTCTTCTTCTAAACAGAACCAAAAATAATAATTTGAAGTAAGATGATATGGAATACGTAAACTTCCACCAGCAACATTGTTGGTTGTTATTAAACTCCGGATTTTCATCGCAATAACGAATTACTATCATTTTGCGTTCATTTTCTGATACACTACCTTTTCAATTATACATTATTTGAAAAGGAAATGTTCAATAAAAGAACTGTGTATTCGTCTTTTCCGGTTACACATAATTTTCCTCCATGTATACTTTATTCATTATTTACCTTAAATGACAAACAAAAAATAGTGAATGGTTTGATTTTAGTTGTTATGTCTTTTTCATTTGCTATTATACGCAGTTTCCTTCGAAACATAGCGTCTTGGTTGTTCGTAGTAAAGGCGCAGCGCATAGCCAACACTACCGCGAGGGCTCGGCCGGCAGATTCGCGCTCTGATTGGTCGGGATTTCCCGGTAATATCTTCTTAACATAGCCTCGAGTAACATTTTCTCAAAGGAACAACTTGTTCCAAATCACCTCATGACTAACCCATGTCAAGGACCTGCGACACTTTTTTTATACCCTGTATATCTAGGATATCCTGCATAAAAAAGTGTATCAGTAATATATCTAGTCGGCTATATTTGTTATAAAATAAATCTGGAAAGTATACCTTATATGTTGATTCATCCGATATGTCACCATCACCAGTAGTTAAACAATTTCGTGGTCGAACAGGTTCATTAGGGGTTTGAGGACATTCCCAATATGAGAGACGATACGTTGTATTATCATCAGTTGGTATAGTTGACTTCCAGTAGTACTAAAATAGTATGCGTTAAAAAAAAGGTATGTAATACTTATTAAAAACATGTATAAAGTCACATATACAGAGTAGATTAATTGAAATTATAACCTCGGTTTATATCACTATTAATATTTTCAGGACAAAATGGTCTATAGTTTGTTCCACAAGAAAATATATATATGGCAAAGCTTCGCGGAACATGACCGCAACGCTATTTCTTAAGCCGCGTTAAAAACTTTAAATATGCTGTTTTACACAGTCGCATTTTATTGGCACGCTAAATGTTGATGTTATTTGAACGTTTTTTTTCAAAATGACATGATCATGCGAAAGGAGAAAAATTATACTTCAGACAAGCTGCAAATCCACTTAGGAAGCCTAAAGGCAGAATTTCCTATAAATGTCGGAGACGTGCATCCAGTATCTGAAGCAGACGTTCGTCAGATGTATCACGTTCAAGATAATGGAATAGAGTGAGAGACAGGCACAAGCAGGGCCGTTCCTGGGTTATTGTCTTCCCGGGTGAAGAAACAATATGGTCGCCCTTATTAATTTAATATTATTTCATTACTGCTGTATTTACTTTTATATCTATATAAAAGTATTTTCGAGTGGTTTTAATCTATATACCTACATAGTTTTTTAACAGTTATCATGCAAAAGGAATATTTTCTAAATTCTACTTTCATAAAATGAAACAAAGATCCTTAAAAAACAAATGTTATTTAAGATGCATATTTTATTCTACATATAATTACAAAACTAACGTGTAGTGTTTGTAATAATGATGTTATAGTTGATAATATAGACTATTAATGACATACACGAATTTAATCCAACAAATATGGCTAGATATCATATGCTGTTTTGAGCTGTATATAAAGATAGCTTCATTACATTCAACACTCATTCTTGTAGTGTTCCAAAGATTACATATAAAATTAATTTGATTGAATTCTGTTTGTTTAAAATTTTAGGAATCATCAAAAAAGTTTTGATTGTTATTCTTATTAAATTTTACATATAATAAATGGTCTGCTGCCGCCCCTGGGTTTGGCCGCTCAGGTCCAGGGGCACCTTTTGCATCCTCGCCAGGAACGGCCCTGAGGAAGGTCACAGTTCCTTTAAACGTAGACGCGCGAGTCCGACGCTTACAGGAAATCCAGCCTTAAGACATTCCCCCAAGAAATGGGTACGTTGGCTTCAAAGGTGTTGGAACGTTGGATGACTTGCCTGAGAGAGGATTACACGCACTATGTTATCAAATGGGGATGGAGTGATCGTTCGTATTTTTCAATGCAATTTAACATTACGTCAAATGTCAGATTCAGTCTCGTAGGAGGGACCTAGATATCAGAATAAACACTATCAAACGCCGTTTGAATGAACTTAGAGGTAATTATTGCTCCACAATCCGAAAACCCTTTCTGTCCGAAAATGAAATCGCAAAACAACAGATGTAGGCAGAAGGAAATTTGTCCAAGACTTTCAGTAATTCAATCGTCGGATAAGGCTTCCTTCTAGACATGGATACCCTTGAAATCTGAATATGAACTAAGTAATGAGAAGGGTAGAACTTGTAACTTTCTTAGTCTAGGTCGGTCCACCAGTTGCCCCGCGAATGGCGCGATTCATACGGTCATAGCCGCGATGACACTCGCGTCTCCCGCAGGGCAACCGGGCCGAGGGTGTGGTACTGGGGGTACCACCTCCTTTCGCGGTCGGCCCACGAGAGGACAGCGTCGAAAGGTGACCTCTCGGCGCTGTAGGTAGGAGGTGGTGGGACGGCACGTGCAGCCGTCCCGGGGGAGGGGGAGCAACCGGAACCCACCCCCCGCCCCCAGAGAAGAGCCCTCCCCCTTAAACACCTGTAGGGGAGGGCAATGGGCAGGGCTGGTCGCGGTTATACCGAGTCATTCCGCTACCAGCCCTCTGCCCGAGGGTCACCGGGGGGTTTTTAGCGTGGTGACTTCCCGCATTGGTCGTCTCTGCCCTCAACGGAGGCGGTGCACCTTTTCAAGGTTTTCCCCCGTAAAGAAAAAAAAGATTGGACTTTATGGAACCGTTCCCATCAAGAGTCAGAGGTTTAGATCAATAAGTGATCCACGAAATTTTTCTGTGTGTAATATTGAAAACTATGATATTGATGATCATATTATCAACGAACATGTAGTCTGAACACTAAAAGTAGTTAATCTTGAAAGACGTTTACAACAAGGTGATATATTGTTTCGTGTGTATTTCTCAGAGTCGTATTTGAATTACTGCCAAAAAAATCGAGGAATGTGTGTATGGTGGTTTTTCTTTATAAACAAGATAACAAGAAATTTATTATAAAAATTATTCCTATACCACGAAAGAAGTTACGTGAAATGTTATCAGAAATTTTTATTTTAAAGGAGTTGCAAAATCTAAGATTTAATACAAAATATAAGACAAGCGAAAGTTACTGCGAGAATGTGAAGAACATCTGAGGGCAGATGGAAGGACAGGGTGACCCAGTGTGGTATTTGAATTTTCTTAGGATCGTGTCTCCAAGGTAATTATAAGATCTTAACCTACTGTATCTTGTGAGCGAGCGAAAGCTTGGGCGCGTAACGTATACGTTTCGGCGCCAAATTATATGTGGGCCTGAAGATTGTCGCGCGGGCCGTGCGAATGCAACCAACGGAGGGACTATCATAAGGAAGTCGTTGAAAAGATGCCACGACGAAACAACGAAAAGACGTGTAGAATTTAAAGACGTATGAAGTCCCTACCATCACTCAGTCCATTCCCCACTAGTCGCTTGCGCTGCGTTGCGATGGGGGGCAAGAAGTACGTGAGCATACTGCGCATGCTGACTGTCCACACTTCTGAAAAACCTACCCATGGGATCTTGGCAATAATAATTTGCAATGTTTAATTTGCAAGGCAATAATGACACGCATACTGGTAACTCGGGCATTAACATTTGGTAAATCCTCGGTATTTTTCTTTTCATTTTTTTTTTGTACTTTACCGTATTTTATTGTTGTATATTTATGATCTGAAGACCGTGGAAATGTAAATATCGGTAAACAAAACAAGGTAATAACATCGAAGCGGCAAGCGGCCAAAATCCCGTGGGTAGGGATTTCAGGAGCGTCGGAACTGGGGACAGTCAGGCTTCTTGTGGATATGGACGGGAGTCATTCCCCACGGCTGAAAAAGCAAGCCGGTAGGGACGCGAATCGACTTTGACCATCGAGCCACATGTTGGACAGGCCTGTGCTAGTTTTATTTTTGTTTTACATTATATCCCAAGTGTCGAGTTTCTTGAATAAATAGTGTTAGTTTTGTTTATGATATTAACACTTAAATACGTATTTTGAATATCACGTCTCATCCAAAATTTATCCTCACACAACTTTTATAAGAACATTTTTTTTAAAACTTTGATCCCTTGTAAAATATTCTACCGTACCCACTTAAATGGAACACAGTGAATATAAAAATCTGGTGTTGATGAACGGAACTTGAATTTCTCAACCAATTAACCGGTCCGTGAATGGAATACGAATATTTTGAATGCATATGCATATTACGTTTCGATCGTAAATGAATTCTCGTGTTCTTTAGTTCGATCTGTGGGACCGATCATGTTGCGAAAACAGCTAAGAGAACAGAAAAGAAAGAAGTAAAGGAAAAATGTTGACTGCTCTTTGCGAGGACACTTTTTTCATGGAGATTATTGCATAAAAACTAAAGAATGATAAATATATGCGCACTAAAGTATAGAGAATACTCTTATGCTGCATTATTTGTACTTACACGAACTGGTGCAAAAGACTTCATTACTTGTGGTTGTACATATTTCTGGAAAGGAACAAAATCTTCAAAATAATAGTGAAATCACATAATTTATTCATAAGTGAAGACATACTCACAAGAGATGCACATTGAGAAGTGCAGCAGCAACAGCATTTGCAACTTTCACCATGGTTTAACTAAAAAACAATGCAATTACATAAAATTAATCGCAAAAATATTCCGACACCAGCACAATTTTGACTTCTGTGCTTTACATTTCAAGTAATGTGTATAGCTGGGTAGCGGGATTAAAAGTGCCCTTAGATAGAATTGGACTTGTAATGGACCTTCAAGAGATAACCACGGAAAAACTTTGTACTAATTTTTAAACCTCCATTTTCCTTGTTTAATGACAGAAAAATTCTGTAAAAAATATGATGGTACTTACCGACGCACGTGTTAGAGAATTTTTTTCAATCTTTAGATTGAAAATTCTAATTGTAAAAAATTAAAAACGGTAAAACATGCAGAAAATAATGGACGTCGTATTGAAATTTTAAAGACACCAGATTTATCATTTGACAGTAACGACATATTATAATAAGTATTGTTCACAATTTTTTGGAGATTGTTTGGTAGAGTACGACGTAGTTTTAAAAAACGAAAACTGATTTTTTCAATGTTTTCTGTATAACTAGTTTAGCAAATTAATGTTATATTTAGCAAAGCAATATGTAAATTAAAGATGTTAAATAACCGTATTTAAACATACTCTGCATCAGTAATATTCTAAAATATTGATATTTCCAATACCACCGTTGGTGTAGTCGATTAACCACTGAACTTGCACTATTAGGTGAGACTTGTGATTGGTGTGACGAGCCAAACATGAGAATGACTCACAGTCTTTTCAAACAGTCGTCTTAAATACATATAGATAATTGCGGTCAAGCAAGATCAATAAAAAGGTCAAGAAAACGTCAAGAAAGGGTGTCGGTCTGGTTGTCACTTTCCAACAATGAAACATTTCGTACGACTAAAGTAGGCCATTTTCCGGAGCATCCTAGCCCTTCCCAATCCTGTGGGACGGGAGGTGGTAGTGTGAAAACGGGTCAACAGAGGAGGGGGGTTCCTGAACTACTCGGGACATAGGCAGGTCATGTTAGAGGGTTGAAATAGGCGATCTAGCTCTCTCTCTCTCTCTCTCTCTCTGTCTCTCGATGATGATGATGATGATGATGATACGACGATGAAACCCCCATTTGTACAAGCTCGTCCTGTGGGCGAATACAATAGTGACCTAGTCCTCACCTTAAGAGACGAAGGATGTGTGATTCCCCGACGTTCAAACTCCACTAGCTTACAAACTAGGTAGTTATCTTGGAAGTACACTTGAACCCTCCAAGTGGCCTGGGCCTAATAAAGTTGGGAAGGGTGGAAAACACCTCAAGATTAGGCTCTTAGCCTTGGGGGGGGGGATACCGAAATCCCCCCCTCCGGGGTAACCAATGTGCTACTAACCACTAATCACTAAAAACAGGCCATATACAATGAGGTTTGCCGCGAGGTATGCCACAAGACGCGGTCTCATATGAGACGAGTTGACTCTCATAAGACCGACTCTGTGTTTTATGATTTATGTGGTCTATGTACATACCCTACGAAGCTGGCTTGCGAGGCTGTATCCCAAAGTGTATATATTTCCCCAAGTGTACACATTTTCTCATGCAGCTGTTCGTTCCCAAAAAGTATTGACCATGAAAGACTACGTAGTAGATGAGCCAAACGTAACCTTGAACAAAAATCGAAATTGCTGACGCAGCATAGGTGTCATGATATTTTACCATTGGACGCGTAGAGGATGCCATGATAGGAGGGATGCATATGATGCAGCCCTAACTTTACAGTTTTCCTGGTTCTCTCGTTAAATTTAAGTCAATAGTTCGCAATCAAACTGTTCTGTTCAAAATGTGTACTATGCTGTAGGTCTCGTGATCCAACAACCATGTATCACTCTGTAGCGCGCGTGGCCTGACCATTGTGTATCTTAATAAATGCATGTCTCAAGAAAGGCACGGCTCTTGTTTCCTACAATGGAGTGTAAGACGGTGACGGGCGATACAGATTATACACGGGAACGCGTGCAGAAATCTCGTTCGTATCTCAAGGTTATTGGAACGATGGTGTGTCGCGAGCGTCAAAACAAAGTCGGTAGTTGCATAGATTCAATGCATGTTCCTAAAAATTCATGTATCAGCAAAGTTGTGGCTCATATTTCTTACAATGGGATGCCAGAATGATTCCAGTATTGAATCTCCAACTTGATATACGCACAAACCATTTTCAAGAAACAAAGTGAAATTACTCGTCAATTAATAGGTTTACGGCTAATAAAAGTCAGTACCTTTTTACTCAAAATTTAACGCTCTTCGATATTTTGGCATAAAAAGTATAGCATTCCATTTAAAAAAGGTTGGACTTCAAATTTCCGAGACGACTCCACTAACAAAAAAAATATATTCATTACATAATGTATCTCTCCAAAGCATACAACTTTTCTCTAAAAAGTTTTTCATACAAGGCATACTTCAGAAGTTATTCAGGATGAACAAGTTGCGTGGACCACCCTATATAGGCATGATAAATAAAAGAAGACAGTACCAAAAATAAATCCCTATGCACTTATACTCAACATTATTTTAACTTGATCCACATATCGCTTTTTAAAAATAATACACCTAATTTGTAATAATTTTATAATAATATAATTTGAAACAATTTGTTCAAGTAAGTTTCTATCTCTAAATCTGGTGTCTTTTTCTGCCTAACTCCATATCTAAACAACTTTTTCAAGGTATCAATTTTAGCAGTATGATGTGAAAGTTATTCTTGATAAGTATTTTATTACTGAAAAATAGTAGCGGTTTCATTTTATCAATGATACAGTATATCCGCATGAAGCTCGATAAATTAAATTATACATATATCTTTGTGCCTCGGAAGGAAACAACTTATATCACAAGAAAGTTATCTTTAGATATAACTTACTCGAATCTTGTTCTTCGCTTCAAGAACCGAGCGCTGTTGCGTACGTGTAGGCCTAAAACATGTAATCATATTAAATTTAGTTATAAATGATGTAAAAAAAAAATAACTTACGGATCAAAATGACAGATTTGCATGGTTTCAGCAATTTTTCAAAAGAGCAAATAACATTAACTGATAAAAATATATAAGTAAAATTTGTATTAACCTTATTGTTCATAGGAAATATAAATGTCGTTGTCACAAATATGTAATAAAATGAGCAACTTCAAAATCTTTTATGATATGAAAGGATGTTCACGATTGGTCGTAAGGTGACGGCTGATTGAACGACCCAATGAATCGATATTCACAGTATTTCGGATTGTCTGTGTTGCATATCCGCCCTATACTTTACTCCGCGAAGGTAGCTTCGGTATTCATAATTATTATTGTACAGTCCTCGCTCATGTCACGTAGCGATGTATGTCATAAGCTCCAGAGGCGCGAAGTTTGAGTCGAATGACACATGTAATAGGAAAGGAGGGTAAAGGTGAAGTTGACACTGATTGAAGAAGTGTGAATCTTGTTAGAGATCCTTTTAATAAACGCATTTCAAGACTATAAAAAAATCAATATTCACTTAGAAACGAATGTTTAAACATTTGCCAGTTGCCTTCGCCTCCTATTCTAGCACTCAGAATCATTGCAGATATGTAAATCGCTCGTTATCGGTAACCGGGAAGAAATGAATCAACGAATCAGGATAAATCTTAGAAATTAATAATTATAAGATTGATCAGTAGTAACTAAGGACATTTTGTAATTAAACAAAAAGGTGTATGAAGAGAAATGAAGACATTCATTCCATCGACAACATTGTAATAGAAAAGACGTATAAAATTACCTTTGTCAATTAAATTCGGGTTTTCCTTTATAATTAGTTAAAATGATCAAAATTTGACTGTGAAGTTAGCCGAAAAACTTTTTTTTCGCAGAATTAAGTTTTTTAAATGCTCAATCGATGCGTAATCGTTTGTTGGTAACGGATATCATAATTAAAATAGACATTCGTTTCCTGCGCTACCGTTATTTGCACGGAAGCCACGCCCCTCGCTCACACGTATTTCTCACACATGTGCGCGTACCCTACTTGTTGCCCAGCATGCCCAGGACGGAACACTTACGGTGTCGCGTTTAACTAATAATACTGTTTTAATGAAATGTTGCAATGTTTTTAGATACTTTCAGTTATAATCAACTATAATTCGTATTATTCTTCATTCATAATGAATGTAAATACTTACGTAAGCAGGTAAACCTGTAAAAATTACGCAACAAGTATAAGGTTATAACATAGTTAGAGTGAAGAATAAGAATATTAAATATCTTTAAGCTATTTAACCATAGAAACTGAAAAAATGGTAAAATAATATGTACACCCACGAGCAAAATCGGTTTCCGTTGGGGGAAAAGCAGCGTAGGGGAAGGGCCCCCCACCAATTAACCACAGAAGTCAATGAAACTTATTCCACACTTACATGAAAGAACAACATTCAGTTTGACATTTATTTCAGTACTCGACAAGCAACCAAATTTGCGCGTTTGAATGTTTGAGAGTAAAAGCGACGTATTTTTTTGCGAATGAAATCAGTAATAAACACAATGGTCACCAGTCTGTAAACAGGCAGCGTGTATCCGTCATTGTTCAGTGGCACCATCGTCGCCCATTGAACGATTGGCGAAACAATCTCCCCCACCATAGCAGCAACGTAGGGAAGCCGACTCTGCTCGACTGCGCGGAAACCGTCTCATAAGGCTGTCCTTTTCGCACTTGCAGTTGTCCTCTTTTACGGCGCATCCTCTTATTGACGACGTTTCAAGCAGTGATGCCAGAATCGTGGAATGTTTACCCCCACCACTCTCCCACTCCGATGTACCATAATTTCCTACTATGACCACCGACTAGGTATAGAATAGACCTATCATCCAATGCTTTTTTCTGTCCCACGTTCATAGGGATACGTAGCCCTGTTACCATTTTAGTGTCAATCCCCGACGTTACCGATAAAGCATAAATTCTGAGTATTATTAGCACAAATGAAGTGTTATGTATTCCATTCATATTACGTGTATCTATATGATTTCACGAGAATAAAAATATCCGATGCTTCAGTTTAAGGTTAAGGGATAAATATGACAGTCATGAAACATGAAACGGAAAAGTGTATATTTTTTCACTTAACTACAAGATAATTTATTCTAAATGCATTGTTAATGGGCATTTTATTCATGTTACTTTTTACATGTTCTTGTTTTATTCGTTTTTATATCTTGCCTTACATTTGTATATTTGTAACAGATAAATTCAGAATAGATGTAGTTTCATAAAAAGTTTATCAAATCTACATGTGGGAGAATATATACACCGCTTTTATTGACATTTACATATTTATAATTTATATGGGAGTATGAATAGTTTTACTGCCTATTGTAAGAATCTTAATACGCACGAACAATTACTTTCTGGCAATTGGTAAAGTTTTACATATGAATTTACTTACAACAATTTTATTTATTGCGAGTAATTAAATAATGAACGTCTTTAATATTCAGCTACGTGTCTCTCAAAAGCGATATCGGTGCTCTCCGTCAGTCCAACGCGCTAGTAACGTTGCGTCACACAGTTTATTGACCTAGCCGTGTACGCCGTCTACCATGGCCGTACCATCTGGTGTTTGGGTCATTCAAGGGAGAAGGTCGTTCAAGCCGGCAAAAACAATTCAACTCGACGAACGTAACAAAAAAACTAGCTGTTGCGTAATAACCTACGTACGCCCAATACATAACGGCGTTAGCTTCCTCACTTTCTCACGAGCCGTCGCGGAGGGTAGGCGCGCGTCTCAGCGCGTCTCATACTTGTCCTTTCTCTTGTTACTAACCCATTGTTTGTTGCAGGCATTCGACACCATCAATTTATTTACTGTGCATATTATTAATCTATTTACTGTGCATATTGTTGTGTCCCCTCTCTTGTTACTAATCCCTTGTATGTTACAGATGTTCGAGAACCATTGGCTTCGATATTTATCTTCTTATGTACTGTGATTTATTTACTGTGATTTCTATACTGTGATTTATTTACTGTGCATATTATGTATTCTATGTGTATTGTATAATGAAAAATTTTTTTCCAATCAGTTATTCCATCGAAAGAAGACATCGATCAACGTCTACATCCTCAAAGCGTCTACCATTGCGTTAAATTACTGTAAGTTAAACTTAAGTCGTAATTCGATATTCATTGTTATATTCATATTCATCATCACATCGTTCATTATTAATTTTAGTCTATCTATTAATAGACTTAAATTGTGACCATCCATTGTGCATACCAAGTTATTATTAATTCATT